GAATTCCCATATACACCCTGACAGGAGGTGGGGAGCAAACCTGAAACCCAGTTACGTGCTCTTGACCAAGAATCAAACCCAAGACCTTTGGGAGGGCAGGCCAATGCTGTAACTACACACTGGCCAAGGCAATTCACTGTTATTTATTTCCTTTTTGTTTTTATTGATTTCAGAGAGGAAGGAAGAGGGAGAGAAAGACAGAGAAACATCAATGGTGAGAGAAAATCATTGATAATCTGTCTCCTGCCCACCCCAGCCTGGGGATGGAGTCCGAAACCTGGGCCTGTGCCCTGACCGGGAATCACTCTGGGACCTCCTGCCTCATAGGTCAAGCAGCAGCTGCTGGGGAGCTTACCCCCTCACAGACCAGAGGGGTTTTTGTCTCACTTCCCCACAGGCCTGCAGCACTGTGTGAGCATTGAGACTGTCGTCCCATGCTAAGCAGTAATAGTCTGTCGTCCCATGATGAGCAGTAATAGTCGGCCTCATCTTCAGCCTGCAGCCCCGTGATGGTCAGGGTGGCTGAGCTGCCAGACTTGGAGCCAGAGAATCGGTCCGGAACCCCTGAGGGTCTACTGCTACTACCATAGATGATGCATTTGGGGGCCTTTCCTGGGAGCTGTTGGTGCCAGTACACACTATTACTCCCAATGTTGGAGCTGCTTCCAGTGCAGGAGATGGTGACCTTCTGGCCCGGGGACCCCGACACTGAGGATGGCTGAGTCAGCACAGACTGGGCCCAGGATCCTGCAAGAGGGGGAGACACAGAGAGGGTGAGTCTGGGTCTAGAGACCAGAGGAGGAAGCAGGGCTCATGTGTCTTCCCCAGGCCCCTTCCCCGTCCCCTTATCCAGTCACCTGTGCAGTGAGCCAGGAGGGTGAGGAGGAGAGGGGCCCAGGCCATGGTGGAGGTCATCCCTGAGTCCTGCCTCCTGAGGCCCCACAGCTGAAGCAGAGCTCCCCACACCTCTCCCTTCCCCTCTTCATAGTCTGAGGGAGGGAGGGTCCTGTTATGCAAATGAGACCCCATCTATCTGATCCCTCCCTGGGCCCTTGGCAGGTGCCTCTGCCTGAGGATGCCCATGGGTGTGTGCAGGGCGGGGCTGTGTGGGGCCTGTTGCTCAGGGAACCACA